CCCCCTCCCCGTCCGTTCTGCCAGTCAGCGCTGGCAGATCGGAGCGGGGAGAGGGGAACCCAGCCCCTCCCCCTGTCACGGCAAAGAGCCGTGACAGGATCGAGAGGGGAGCGAACCCGGTATGTGTTCGCTCACCTCCCGATCTACTGAGCCGACCTGTGACAGTTTTATTGTCACAGGTTGGCTAGAACTATGAGGTGAGTGGAAATCACTAATCTCATAGTTCTCCTTTAAGGTATCTGAGGGTCTTAAGGGATCAACATTTAGAATATGTAAATCCCTTTCTTGTACCTCTGTATACAGTTAACAATGTTTGCTCCCTTTTTGCCATTTTGTATGCACTCTAGTTTGTCTAATGTATTTTTGTTTTTCCCATGGTGCATATAGGATTATGGCAGACAAAATTGACCTGCATTTTTATTCTACATTTCTAGTATAAATGTTTTACGGTTTGTCTGATTTTATGTTTTTTTGTTGGTTTTTTTTGTGCTTAAGGGTAGAAGACAACCAAGAAAGGGTTGAATCAACAAGGTATTGACATTATTTACATTATTAAAAAAAAAAAACAATTATTTTTTTTTTTAAACCCAGGGCTCACGCAGAGAATATGGGCACTGGGAAAAAAAACTTACGTGGCTCCAAACTATTGTGGGTACCTTTCAATGTTACCTGGTTTAATTCGGATTGTTTTATCAATATGGCACAGCCAGGGCAGCCATCGGAACTTTTGGGGGCCCTTAAACAGGTTCAGGCCTGGGCCCCCCGTCCTACTACGAACACTGCATAGGACTGTCCACTGGCTGTCCCATTGAGTCCGTCCACTGGCGATCCCTCCGGGTCCTTCAGTGCACCCACTTTTATTTTAACTCTATTACAACTTAATATATGAAATTGTAATGTCTATTCCAATGCATAGGTATCACTGACTCTGCTGGAGGTACAATGCACAGGTAACACTGACTTTGTTGGGGTGACAACGCACAGGTGACCCTGACTCTGCTGGGATTACAATGCACAGGTCACAGACTCTGCTGCGGTGACAATGCACAGGTAACACTGACTCCGCTGTGTGACGTACGCCCGGCCCAAACCCGCTGTACGTTAATCCCACGTGACTATACACAGTTCTGAACCGAACGTGGTGTCACAAGGACGTGGTGATACCACTCTCAGCCTCACCCTGCACAGAGATTTCCCAATTGTGTGGGACACAATTGTTACCAGGGTTGGTTTACTCCATAGTTAACCCTTTACCCACCAAACTTTCTCTGCCACAATGTGTTTTTTTAATGGAAACACAGACTGTGCCCAGCAAGTGCTGTTATAATTTAAAACACTTCAACAATGCCTATGATACCGCTGTCCTCTCAGACAGGAATATGACAGGATTCACTATACAGTAGCGCTCTTCACAGAGACAAGGATACTTTAAGTTCGTATTTAGAGCGTAAAAGATAAGCTTAACGATTTTTAAGATCGTCCTTTAATAAAAGTAACGGTTCAGAAAATGTACAGGAAAAGGTATTCATAAAAACAGACAAAATATATATACAACAGTAAAAAAAAAAGGGAATAAAAGGTGAATACTTAACAGTCCTGGTTTCAGGAGTTCTGACAGAGTTCTGGCAAATGACTAAATGAAGGCCTGCATTTGCTCTGAACTCGGGGACAAGTTTTTCTTCCTATTTTTATTATTGAGACTCAAACCCCAATATCGTCACATGCTGGGCTGACACTGCACAGATAACACTGACACCGCTGGGGTGACACCGCACAGGTAACATTGACAATGCACAGATAACACTGACAGTTCTGGAATAACAGTGCATCCCCCCCCCCAAACTCACAGCAGACCGTGCGTGCAGGAAGGGTCTTTTTTTCCTTGGCAGAAGCGCCGAAGATCTAGGCTGGAGCAGAGCACAGATGCTGCCTGGAGGGGAAAGGTAAGTGTTTTTCAGCAGAGAGATGTCCCGGGGATTGGTGGGGGTTGTGATAGAGACTGGGGGGAGAGAAAGAGTGAGAGAGACTCCGCTGAGACTGACGCTGAGAGGGGGGGTCGGTCTGGCTCTCTCGTTCTTTACCCCCTCCCCCTCCTCTCAACGTTGGGTCTGTCTGTCTCTCTCACCCTTCCCCACCCCCCTCTCCTCTCTGCGTTGGTCGGTCTTTCTCTTTCACTCTCCCCCCCTCCTCTCAGTGAGGGTACATCTTGAACAGCACTGCTAATGAGGATCGTCAGTCTGTCTCTCTGGGGGGAGAGTAAGAGAGACAGACCGGCTGATGTTGAGAGGAGGGGGGAAGAATGAGTGAGACAGACCGACCCTGAGAGGAGGAGGGGGGGAAAGAGTGAGAGAGACAGACTGACCGACCGACCAACGCTGGGAGGAGGGGGGGAAGTGAGAAAGACCGACCAACAATGAGAGGAGGAGGGGGGTAGAGTGAGAGAGAGGCCGACCAACGCTGAGAGGATTGGAAGAGTGAGACAGACAGACCAGCATCAGTCGGTCTGTCGCTCTCACTCTCCCCCCCCCTCCTCTCACTGAGAGGAGGGGGGAAAAGAGTGAGAGAGAGAGACAGACCGACGCTGAGGAGAGGGGGAAAGAGTGAGAGACAGTGACTGATGCTGAGGAGGGGGGGGAGTGAGAGTCACCAACCGATGCTGAGGGAGGGAGAGTGAGAGACACCAACTGACGCTGAGAGGAGGAGGGGGGAGAGAGACACCGTCTGATGCTGAGAAGAGGAGGGGGTGAGAGAGAGACACCGACTGATGCTGAGGGTGGGGAGAGAGAGACATCGACCTACGCTGAGAGGAGGGAGAGAGAGAGACACAGACCAACGCTGACACCTGGGCAGTCCGGTTTTGGAGTCCTCTGTCCGGGTATCCAGCCAGCAGGCACCCGGACACAAGACACTCAGTGCCAACACTAGTACTTTACATTTTCTGACAGATGCAGCTGCCGAGGTCCCCAGCAAGCAATCTCGGACGGCCACATCTGCCTGAAACCCGGATCTTCCTCTGAGCTGCGGGCACCTGTAAGCAGGCACAGACTGCACGAAGCTCAGAGGAAGATTCGGCTTCAGGGGAAGACTCGGCTTCATCGCGAAAAACACTTACCTTTTCCCTCCCGGCAGCATCTGTGCTCCGCTCCAGCCTAGATCTTCGGCGCTTCTGCCCACGAAAAAAAAGACCCTTCCTGCACGCACGTACTCGGGAAGGGCCCAGGACCTTGCAAATTCTTCTCCACATATCAATCTATAAGAAAAAATGCTAGCTTGGAGCCCGGGCCCCCCCGGCCACCTAGACCCCTTAAACCAGTACTGGCTGTACCCCCCTGATGGCGGCCCTGGGCACAGCTAGTGCTGGCTGTAGAAAAAAGGATGGTCCCCAAGCAAGAAAGTAATTAAATTCAAGTAAGCTCGATGTTGTCACACATGTGTACACATAGATTGATTGCAGAAGATTCTATGTTTAGGTTGGCACAACTAAGCCAGTTTATTTTGCTTACCAAGCAAAGAACACTTTATAAAATGTTCATTTAATTTTAAACCTGAATATTCATTTAAGCATTTTTCTATTCCAGCTTTCCACAATCTGATGATTTACCTTGCAAATGAATCCTTCCAAAGACTTCAATATAACGTCTTAGCATGAAATAAACATTGATAAAAGACTCCTGCTGCATCCTCCAGTCCGAACCACCATTTCAAAGGGAATGCTGAGCCTTAAACTATTTATTGTCCAAGACCTTCCTTAAGTGCACTGTTTGTTCTGTGAATAATCATACTTTTTCTCTTTGTGGCTAAAAAAGGAAATGGTTTTTAAGGTGTACTTATTTACACCATTATTTGTAATTCCATATCAGAGAAAAGCTAGCCACAACAGGCATCAGATGAAGGTCACACATGCAGACATGATCTGACTGCTAAAAGATCTTTCTTGCAAAAGATGCTTCCAAATACATACCCAATCAAGGGAAAAGGTAGAAAGGGTAGAAGTACCTTAACTAACCCATGCTGGCTTATCAGTGGGACAATATAATCACATTCAATCACAATCAAATCAACCAAGGAATATCTGAAAAGAAGCATCTATATACGATCATTTTACAATCTGGCAGGAAAAGACTTGATTGGGTAACAATCATATTATGCCTATAACCCCCCCTGAACTATATGAGCAAGTAAAAAGCAAACAAAGCAGAATTGCTTTTATATAGAAGGGCATTTTAGAAACTAGCAAAACGACAACCCCCCCTGGATAAAAAAATGATGATTGAAAACATTTCAATCATCATGAATAATTTTAATATGGAAACATGTACCAGGGCTTATAGGTACTTCCCAGTTTTAAATTACCTTAATTGTCACAATCGCAACAAAGTAATAGCCTCAAGGTAGGACGAAGCAGGGCTTCTACTCACACTTGTGAAGAATTAAGGAAAAAAGTAAGATGTAAGTTTACTTTAAACTGGTGACAGGTAAAACAAGGCTACAATAAAAGGAAGCAGTGTGAGCAGAGCAAACAGAGGTGAAAAGTAAACCAGACTAAATACACTAAGCTACAACAAAGGCTAACTTTGAGCAATGCTGCCCCCTTAATTAGGGGTCAATGCAAGGTTCAGGTAATTTTACACTGCATACAGAATTACTGGATGATGAGATTCAGGATGAACTCTACCGAATGCAGGAGATATAGAATTTAGGATTTACAGTACTAGGATGCAAGCTTCAGGAAATAGGATTTGAGATGCAAAATACCACGTTACAGGGTACTATTATTATTATACAAGATTTATATAGCGCCAACACTTTGCACAGCGCTTTACAATATAATGAAGACATTACAATTACAATACAATTCAAGACAAGACGGTGAGGAGGGCCCTGCCCCTGAGGGCTTGCAATCTAAATACAAAATGCTTAGGTACCTGAATCAGGGAGAAGCTGGCTAACTTGTCATGCAATGAGTTGTAGGTAGACACATGCCCATGGAAAGTGAAAGCCGGATCTCATAAAACAGTGTCAGTAGCAGGTGACAAAGGGAAAATACGGGCTCTTTACAGCAATTATATGTTTACAATAGCTGCAATGCTGTGTTCTTTTTACACCATATTTGTATCATACAGTATAGTTTCCCTTTAAAAACTTTGGACTTTAGTTTAGGATTACAATACAGCATTTAAGGGCCAGCACAAAAATATAAAATATGGAACATTAACAATTCTGGCAATGCAAGCACAAATATGCATGTAACATGTATCACTGTATTGTGGTGCCATTCATTTTGAATTGCACCCCAACACACTAAGGCAACACATTTGTGCTGGAGCATGCCATATTGCACATTAGCGCGTTACTGGCCATTACATTAAAGGGTCAAGTCCGATTTACAGCACTTATTTAGGGTGCATTGGCAGCCCATTCATTTTATATTACATAATGCACATTAACACACTGCAAAGATCTAAATGGGTCCTAAAGAATTTGTAAAGGACCAATTTACTTAAAGGAGAACTATGGGGTTTAGTCTTTTCCCCATAGTTCTCCTTAGGGTAACGGGAGGACACAAACTAGCGTCCTCCCGTCACCCTAGGCTCAGTATACGGCGAGCTGCAGCTCGCCGTATACTGAGACGCCGCAGTATACCGCGAGCAGCTGCTCGCGGTATACTGAGACGCCGCAGCTGAAGCGGATCCCGACAATTGTGCCGGGATCCGCCCAGCTGCGTGACTGACAGGTGGCTCTGCCTATCTAGAGGCAGAGCCAGCTGTACCCGCCCCCTCCCCGTCCGTTCCGCCAGTCAGCGCTGGCGAATCGGAGCGGGGAGGGGGAATCCAGCCCCTCCCCTGTCACGGCAGAGGGCCGTGACAGGATCGAGAGGTGAGCGAACGCCGGTATGTGTTCGCTCACCTCCCGATCTACTAAGCCGGCCTGTGACAGTCTCATTGTCACTGGTCGGCTAGAACTATGAGGTGAGTGAAAAGCACTCACCTCATAGTTCTCCTTTAAACACTGGATGGATGCTGACACACTATGAAACTTGGAATCATAGAGATGAAGACTCCACATCTCACCACTGCAGTGAAATATCTAAAAGTATTGCACATCCAAACCCAGGTCTTTTGTTTAAAACATATTAGCTCTGTCACTAAGGTAGCTGCTCCTAACTTAAAGGAGAACTATGGGGTTAAGGCTTTTCCCCATAGTTCTCCTTAGGGTAACGGGAGGACACAAACTAGCTTCCAAATCGGAGTGGGGAGCGGGGAATCCCGCCCCTCCCCTGTCACGGCAGAGAGCTGTGACAGGATCGAGAGGTGAGCGAACGCCGGTATGTGTTCGCTCACTTCTCGATCTACTGAGCCGACCTGTGACAGTCTCATTGTCACAGGTCGGCTAGAACTATGGGGTGAGTGAAAAGCACTCACCTCATAGTTCTCCTTTAATAAAGAGCTAGAAATGGCTTGAGATGTCACTTTTAAATGACAGGAGCTATTATGTTTTGTACTACTGCTTTGGTAAAATAAAGTGAAAGAACTAATCTTTTTTAAACAGACAGTGGCTAAGGTGTGCACTCCAGAATTACAAACAGTAACATTTCTGGTTTGCTTTTATAAAGAGATCGCTGCAAGAATGTCCATATATTCCTATGAAGGAGCCAGTAGAGGGTATGTTATGGGTTCTGGAGGAATTTAGAAGCTGGTGTGTGTGTGTGTGTTTGTGGTCAGAGTTACTTCGGTTTCCGAATCTTCATGACCCCTACTGATACCAACCTGATGTGTGCCATGATTTTGTGGTCAGCGTGCCAAATAAGTGGGGACGCTCTAGTGAAATGATAGAACCTGGAGAAGGGCGGGAGGGTCAGACGCGACTTCGCCGTGACGTGACGAGGAGCTCCCTGTCCCCCTTCTTAAGGGGAGGAGAGCCGCCGCAACTCCTCCCACAAACACGGCCAAGATACCTTGGCCTATTACGTGTGTGTGTGTGTGTGATTGAAGCCACTGAATTCCCTCCTAAAACTAGGACATTGGTTCTACTTGTGAAATTCAGGTATGTGCATGCAAATGTCTGTCTGTCTATGCACATGACTGGCAGCATTATTCCTTTCCATTTTCTTTACTGTATCGTGTTAAAGTTTTGATCCCACTAGTTCAATTTTTTTGTATGTTAAAGATAATAAAAAGCAGGTGTCATCTCTCACTGAGTGTTTATTCTATTTACAATTTATTTTTCAATTATGTGCAAAGATAAGTAAAAATGCAGCTAGAAAAAATATTTTTTTTAAAAGCTTTGGGACAAAATAAAACTATTAGAATTGTCTTGAGATACAAAGATCAAAATAATAGCAATTCAAAAATGTTTTAGGCCCCCGATCACACCTGTGTGATTTGACGTGCATTGCTCAATGCATATCAACGCATGACAAGAGGATTGCCATTGTTTTCTATGGGGCCTGTTTACAGCTGTGAAATAAAAAGTAGTCACTCGCACTCTGCAGGAGTGACTACTTTTTATTTTACATGTTCTGGAGGCATCCGATGTTACTGCTACATCCGCCCTGTTATATTGGGTTTGTTTCCGGTCAGGAATGCGATGGGAGACATGGGGGGGAATTTATCAAAACTGGAGCATACCAAATCTGGAGCAGTTGCCCATGGCAACCAATCAGCATCTCTCTTCAGTTTGCTCAGGTAAGATTTGAAAATGAAACAGAGAAGCTGATTGGTTGCCGCGCACAGCTGCTCTAGATATGGTCCGCTCCAGTTTTGATAAATTCACCCCATGGACTTTTGTTTACAGCAGTGGGCTGTCCTGGGTTGGAAAAAATAGTATAGCTGTGTTTTGGGGTTTTTGGTGCAGCAACACGTGTTTTTGGCTCCATAACCTTCAATCGCAGGGCATGAAAGGGTGTGCAACATGAGTTGTGGCATGTTTTAGCATGTCCTTCCACATAACAATGAGCCCCCTCCCTAGGGTTGCCACCTTTTCTTCAAACGAAACCCGAACACTCTAGCGATGCACGGACATTTTTTGGGGGGAGGATGAGTCGCAGCTTATTCATATGTAAATATCACAGTTGAGATTATTTTCAGTGGGTGGCCAGTGGCTTCTATCTTCATTTTGGTTGTCCCTGTCTGCCTGATATCTTGCGTCCGGGTTTCTGCTGCCATGAAACCCGGACTGTCCGGGTGAATCCTGGCAACCCTCCCACAGGAAACCTCTACTTGATCCAGGCTTCTCACTAAGATGGAACAAGAAGGCCACAGCATGCTCCATGGGGAGCAGTATATAAGGCTTCTGAGGGCATGCCCACTGTTATATGACTCTGGTGACCCCCCAATGCAAGAAATCAGGCCATCTGACAGAGGGATTAGATGGAGAGTTTCAGAGAAGTTTTAATGGATTGGGATGCTTACCCAGCCTCTATGAAAAAACAAAAGGTAATCTTTTTTTCTTTAGGACCTTTTTTGTTACATATGGTATTGATTCCTGAAAAGGTATGCTTTTTAAAAGAATGACACTTCTGCATTACGGAGCTGTTGCTATAGTTACACTATACTTACCTGCCTAGAGATGTTCAACATTGCAATAGTATGCATTCCCAGGCATGTAAGCCCTGGGAGAAGTTTGTGTGATATAGTAATGTTGTTGCTGCAAGACGTCTATTTTCCGAACTTTTCAGGGTGTAGTTTCAATATGCTAATGTTTTTGGGTTCGGCAAAGAGACTTGATCAGTTGATCGCAATCTATATACAATAGATTATGTGCTATAGCAAGAGAACAGACTTTACCAGTGTGTGTTGAACGAGCTTTTCTATTTAATGAAAAGAGATGCAGGGCTTACATACACAGATGGAATGCAGAAACAAGAGAAAGAACAATCATTGTACAGGTGAAACTCGAATAATTAGAATATTGTGCAAAGGTCATTTATTTCACTAATGCAACTTAAAAAGGTGAAACTAATATATGAGATAGACTCATTACATGCAAAGCAAGATAATTCAAGCCGTGATTTGTCATAATTGTGATGATTATGGCTTACAGCTCATGAAAACCCCAAGAACCCCAAATCCACAACCTCAAAAAAGTAGATTATTACATGCAATCAATA